ACACACTGGCATGCACGTGCCACTGTATGGCCTGTGCTCAAGACCACCGCAATGGCAGTGCTCAAGAGCCAAAACATGAGAATAGTCACATAAGGTTGAGCAATACTCCCTTTCTGCCAACAGTTCACCTGGCAGTTCTACAGCAGTGGTTAGTGCCCACTTTAGGGTTCTACAACAGTACGCTACCATAACCAGGGTTAAGGTGAATTATCACTTACAGTCTCATCATTTAGGGAACTTTGCCAACTGTAGAGGGTTCAGCCTCGTGACTGATATGATTCCGTGGAAACGAGGCTGTAACCGCCCGTCACAGGCCCCCGTTTCAAACAAATTGCTTTTTTCCTAGTAGCAATCCGGATATCCGGCCGCCCTCAGTTTATCCGAATCTACAGACCGGATAGTACTGGCCGGATGAAGCCGGATGACGCATATCCGGGCTTAAAAAAGGGTATTTTAAAAAAAAAAACTTCCCTGAAAAAATCTGAAAAAAAAGTACGTTGTAGATTGTAACAATGCAAACAACTTTGGGCTTGAGGTCATTTGAAAATTTCTAACAGATCTTATCTGGAAATTTGGAGAAATCTGCTGCCCCCGGATGATCCGGACAATCAATCCGCTGGAAGTTGTGCTCCCTAGCTTTTCTTTCAAGTTAAAAAAAAACTAGATAGAGAAGTTATTGCAGGGGAAAGGAAGCAAGCTATTATCATTGAGATTTGAAAGATATCCCACTTACCAACTGGTATGATTGCTACATCATCCTTGTCCATATCTTTAAATAGCCTGCACTTCATGTACGCGTAAGTTAACATGTCTTTGTGATGATCCAAATGATCTGGAGTCAAATTAGTTATAACACCAACCTGCAATCATCGATCAAAAGTGCAAAATCGTATAAAAAGATGAAAGTGAAAAAAGTGAAAAATTGTATGATCCTGCAGATTCCTGCCCAGCTTCCAAAGCAAATGCTCAGCTGAAAGACAATGCCAGATTGAGAAGTACCATGCCATCCAATTTCAAGAGAAAAGAGAGAACTTGAATGGGAAAGAGACAAGGATAGAAGAAGAAGAACAAGAACAAGAACAAGAACAAGAACAAGAACAAGAATAGAATATACACCAGTGTAACCAATGTCAACTTCCCCTTTCTTCGCCAACACCTCCAACTCTGCCAATCTCCCCCAACAGCCTCAATTCAATAACAATAATAATAATGCCACTGAACGAGTGAGCACAGATCAATGCCCGAATCCTCTCCCTACTGCTGGTGTAACACGCGGTCCACCATAGCCATTTCTCCCATCTTCTTCCACCTATGAATGGTGGTAGGCTATGGCGGATATCTGGAACCAACCCCGGATGTCCAAAGGACAACGCAAGGCTAATGTGCCTCTTCTCTCGTCACTGCCATGCCCTACACTACTAATGAGCGTCCTTGGTGCAGCTCCGTTCCCCCACCGGGGTCTTCTTGAAGCAGCACACTCTAGAAGATGAAGATGCCGTCCTCCATAGCCGGGTAAGAACCTCCTCCACTCTCCTCTGAGTCCCCTTCTTCCTTCTCCTCCTACCTCCGGCCTTCCAACATAGCCAAGGTGGAAGCCGAGGTCTTCTTCCCCCTAGTGCAGCTAATGCTGGACGCTGCTCCGCTCCACCGGTCGCTCCAGCTGTGTGACCGCCAAACAAGCATGCAGCAAATGAGGAAGAGCTCTTCTATGAACCGCACGCTCAATGAACGGGCGAATTCCGTTCAATTGTTGAACGGAATCGAGCTCCGTTCAAAGTTCAATGAATTGAACTCCCTGCGGATAGTCGAAACGGGCCCCCAAAATAAAATTAAAAAAATGGGGGGGTGGAGGACGTTGTATAGCACACCCCAGATTTTTTGTTTGATTTTTGGTGACATTTTATATTTTTAAAAATAAAAAACGAAGAAAAGGGTGCCGGTAGTGGGTTATGCTTGGTTTGGGGTAGGCTACATAGGAGTGGGGTTGGGTGATTTTTTTTTACTTTCTCTCTCCCAAACTCTCTTTCTCCTCTCTCTCTCTTTCTCTCTCTCTCTCTCTCTCTCTCTCTCACACACACACACACACACACACACACACACACACACACACACACACACACAATCAGTTTTATGTCTGTCAGTCTTTCTTCTGTTGTCTGTCCTCCCCCTGATTTTTTCCAAGTTTTTTTTGTGTGCCCAACTGAGCACCCTTAAGTAGTGCCAAACAGTCGGTGGTTCCTCGTTTGGAGTGCCTACTGCACTCTTATGGGGGCTGCTCGGTTCGGGTTGTCTATGTTGCCTGTCGGTGATGACGGATGTTCGTCGGAGTGACTCCCTGGCTTAGTGGGTGGTGGGAACCAACAGTCTGCGGGCTTCAATCATGATGTGAGTAGGTCATGTGCTGCTTTGCTCCGTGTCTCCGCTGCCGTGCTGCTCATCCGCTGGCCGTGCCTTCCGTGTTTGCCGCTTGTTCGCCATGTAGGTTGGTTGCCTTGTTGCTGGTGCCTTGTGCTCCGCTCCACGGTTGCCGACCTGCTGGTCCGCTCGCCCTGTTGTCCCCTGCAGTGCTGTTGCCTTGCTTGTGTTGTCTTGTGCTTCACTTCAGGGTTTCCGCACTGCATGTCCTGCGTGCCATGTCGTTCCTTGCAGCCGTTTTTGGCGTTGTGCAGCCGTGTTGACTCTACTGTGTCGCCTGGTGCTCCACAGGGTTGCTGCCCGCTGCTATGTTCTGCTTGGGGACAGTCTGCCTTCACCAAGGGTCAAAGGGTTAATGACCCAAACCATCAAATACGGAGATTCCACAGATTGTCGAGGGTTCAGCCTCCTGATGAGTCGGTGCAACTCCGGCGAAACAATCTTTTATGTTTTGTTCTTTTGTCTGTCTTGTTGCCGGGCTGCTTCTCGACTCTTGCCTTGTTTTAATTGCCTTACTGCTGGTCAGTTTGGTTTTTGTTTTTCTTTTTTTCGTTCCCTGGCTTTTGAAAGCTGGGCATTATAAGCATTCTTTTCTATGGGCATCCCCGGCTGCGAGCTCTTTCCTGGTGTTGTTTATAAGCACACTCTCCAACGCAACATGCTGTGACGCGGTCGCAGAAGCCACGCAATGCAAATATAACACACACACGGGCCATATGTAGTAACCCTGTTCAGAAGTAGCCCGGGGCCCAGAACTCAGCCCCAGACCACGCAGACCAGAATTGGTCTGCACCGGGCTGTGTGACCAACACCTGCCCAGAATTGAGAAGGCCGCACGTGGCTGTGGGACCAAGTGCTAAGATCAGGAAATTCAAGAGTCAAAGTCAACTGTCAAGTCAAAGGTACCATGCCAGGCCCTTGGTTGGATACATCCACTTGTTGTGCGCAGGTACCAAGACATGCATCCAGGCCGAAGAGGATACAGTTTCAGATCGATCCATGCCCTTCCCGGTGTCAAGATCTGGACGGCTGGAGTCTGCAGCAGCTGGGGTCCAGACCCTGAGTCAACGCTACATAAGCGTGGACTCCCTGGCTTTGACATTCATTCTTTCTGTCTTGCGTTGACGGCACGCCGCTGGCTGGACGCTGCGACGTTGGTGGACTCTGACATTACGCTGGCATTGGCGAGATAGCAGCAACACGCTGCTGGCTGGTGCGCTGACTGGCTGGCTACTGTCTTCAAGGCTTGCTGACGTGGCATTACCACGTGTTGCTGCTGACGTGGCTGCTGCCACATGTGACATTGCCGGGTCTACAGGATCGGCATTGCTGTTCTATTCCATCATTACTTCAGGGAGATATCAAGGCTGTTTCATCGTCGGTTCAGGAGGAGATCGGGACTGTGTTGAGGTTGTGGATACGTACCTGGGATCTTCACGTCGATGCAACTCAAGCGCTGATAAGAGGTTGATTGGGTGCCACGTGGCACATTGTAACAGGACTTCGATATGTGTTCAGATTACTGGTTATTGTGAGGTGGCGGTCAAGGAAGGAGCCCGGAGAAGGAGTGGGCATTTTATCATCCTCTCCTTTCTCTTATCTCCCTCCTTCCTCTTCGTCTGTGTATGTTACCTCACCTCCTTCTTTCTGGATACTATTTTGATTACTGGAAATTATCAGCGACTTGACATACTCGACTAGCATTGTTGACAATCGTATTCATGACTTGGGTTCATTGCAATTTGGTATCGGAGCTGTACTCCTGTCTACGACGACGATAACGACGACGAAGATACACGTGTGAAAGCGCCAGGTGGTGCCAGGTAAGTATGAGGAAGTGCTCAATCGCGATTATAATCGCGCGGCAGTCTAGACAGGGCACTTACCTCCTTTGAAGACCTGCACACGTGACAAGATGATGATGAGGAAGCTGTGCTGTTGATGACGACGAAGACTGCTGGTGAGAAGACTATTCAGGATACCGATCCCGACACACGTGTTGGAGTGGCAGTTGGGATACCAGCCGGGATCGCGACAGAAGGTCGTGACAGTCTGCTGACGTGGCATAAGATGTGCCACGTCCCAGGATCTGGTTGCTGACGTGGCAAGTATCGTCGCGTTCGTCATTGACATGCGACCAGATCCTGAGCAGGAGCTGACTTGGCTCTTGGAGGTGTTTATTGCTGACGCGGCAGGAGAGGATTACCGCACTTGTCTTTTGATGTGGTGATCACCTGCTGACGTGGCATTACTCCTTGGGCTGATGTGGCATTGTTCCGATTGGCTGGCTTGACGACGGTATTACAAGACGACACGTGGATGAGGAACGTGATAAGGATCAGAGAACACACTTGCTGACGTGTCATCCCACTATTGATAAACTGAACAGACTGTGCTGACGTGGCAGGACTGCTATGTCGGCATGCCACGGATAACACATGGCAGGCAGGACGCTGCCTAAGTGAGAGATTGCATTCCGTCGACGACGGCGGTACGGCTAATTGAATTGAACAGCTGTAGTGCCAACTGTCGAGCGGTGTGCTATATCGCATTGGCACAAAGATTGACGCAAGGAAGAAGAAGACTGCTGACATATTGTTGTTGATTGGTGTTGGCTTACTTACCTTGTGTCGCTGTGTTGTGGTGCTGTGCATACTCACTTGTGTGTTGTATCTGATCACACGGCCTGAAGTGGTACCTGTAGAATCTGTATAGGACGTCATCACACAGATCAAGAAAGAACAGCATTGGTAGTAAATTAAATAATTGAATTTATTTTTCTCCTTTAGTTACAAATAAACCTTGCTGTTGTAGAATCGTGCGGCTGTCGAATTTATTACTGTTTGTTAATTGTTTATTGTGCAGCGAACGCACATTACAATGTCTCAATCCCCCGAGTCTTAGACTGTTGGGGAGCTACCTGATCCACGAACCAGGCAACAGATAGACGGGCGGAAGAGAATATTAACCGCCCGCTTGGACACTCTGATTTCTGAACTTCATGTCGCTGGTGCTGAGGCAGAAGCCCACGTCCGGAGTCAGTTTGACTTGCAAGTAGCACATGCTGCTCTCGAGGCAGCTGAGACGAGCACTGATGTCATCCACGTTCAGGAAGTACTTATGAAGTGTCGTCAGGCACTTGATAAGTACATTATGGACCAGTTTACTGAGATTGCTAATGGAAGTGGAAAGAAAGAAGTGCCTGTGACTGAGGAAACCGTGGATGAGAATATCCGTCAGCTTGAGGAAGCACTTGAGAGAGAGAAGAACCGAAAAGAGGAACTCCGAAGAGAAAAAGAAAGAAATAGACAGCAAGAACAGAAAATAGACGAGCTCAGACAGAATGTGGTGATAACTGAAGGGGAAGAACAGACCGTTTCTATGAATCAACTTGTGAATTATCTCGCTCACCTTGAAATGAAACTTGATCAGTTTGGCATGCGAC